ATTAACAGGCAGAATGATCAGACTATGGACAGGTATGGCTGTTGCATTATATGGGAGACATTGAAAAAACATTTTAATTGTAATATATGAAATAAATATCATGAACTAGGCTAAGGATTGAGCATCGAGAATTTTAGTAGTGTTCAGTCAGTACCAAACGGGCTGTCATACAGGCCTTGATTATATATATTTCACAATCCAATAACGAAATCAGTTACATGTGATCTGAAATGATATAGGGGTATTTTTAGATATTTTTTTCTAATAGGTGGAAGATTTTGGTATTGTTGGATTCCTCTCATGCTCTAGTTTCCACATATATAGAAATTATTGTGCGGAAGTCCCTGAAGCTCCACATTATTGGCCTCGCCAGTAGGGGAGGACATGAAAGGTATTAGGAAAATTGTAGGGTAAAATATGAATGATATTGTCTGATGGATAATATTGTCTAATGCATGGGCTTTACCCATTGTGACTCCCAACCCACACCCAGAAAAATGAAGAATCCTCCATGTATTCACAGTATGAGATCATAAGACTGCAATGTGTTGACAGCGATGCTAAGTTTGCCCAATGCTCTCTCCTGCCATGAATACGTGGAGGATTAGACAATATAGCAACTGATTCTGTGTAAATAATTCATATTTTGCCCTGCAGGTCCCCTGGTACATTTCATACCCTCTCCTGCTATCAGGGCCAAGCTTGTCTTAATAGGAGAGTTAGGGGGGTTTATGTACAATAAAACCTACATATTTGCATGACAGACGGTGAAAGAAACCCAAGTGTAAGGATTAAATATCAGTATTCATTACAATAAGGACACACTCGCCACAGACAGTGTAATAAACTCCAGGTCATAAAACTAAGTTGCTAAAAACGGGTGTACCTTTTGGGCACTGTCAAAGAGGAGGTTTGTTTGGGGCTTTGCCCCCCAACACCCCCCAATAAACATTGTCGTCACTTAAGTATGCATGGCTGGAGCTGAAACTTGGGAGAGCTGAGTGGACTTTCACTGTTAGGAGTGCTTTCTGCAGTCTTTTTCCTTAATTTGTGGTGTTACTGTTTGAGTCTGCAAATTATTTCTTGTAGCAATGACTACAACTGTAATGCCATCATCCCTTTGCTGACACCTCGGATGAGAGGCTAACACATTACTATTGTACTGGCCTTTAAGCTAGAGATAGCAATGATGGAATAGTAGGAAATATGTCTCTATCTTCAAATAGGATTGTTGATAGTATAATTATGTATATGAAAAGTGAATGTATAGATCTGTGTTAATAGCTTTGCCTGTCTGTAGTACACATTCCTTAGTGAACTCCTTGTGATACAGGGGTAATAAATATATGAAAGGAAAGTACCAGAATTATATCCCTACACTCCCTTACTCCCAGTAACAGTGGAAAAACATGAGGGCAAACAGCCTGGCAGTTCTTTAGAGGCTGTGTTCAACTGATGTACATTCTCAACTGACTTAGCTTGGATTGAGTGATGAGTGTATATGCACTCAGTAGTGCATCCTTAGACTCTAGTGGATAAAGAAATGTGAATGTGCTATAAACTAGAAAAAAAGTGTATTAATCCAAAGCTGCTGTGGATGGCATACATGCTATGCCCACTGTGAGTTTAGTTTATTAATTGTCTATACACATTGATGGCTTCACAAATCAGTCACAAATGAGTCATCTGACCTTTTAATATTTCTCCTTGATTTTCAGAAACATTTTCTGTTATCTTTTATTGCTGTTGGTAATGTTAATAGCATTATAATAATTTTAGATATGACAATAACAGCATCATTATTGATAGCTTTAGGAAAGAAATATTTTTCCCTGAAAACTCAATGAAAGGTGAAATCAGGTGAGGTCACAAGGTCTACTAATTAGATCCTTTATATCTAAACACTCGTGGAACCATTTGTATGTAGAGATGTATCACAAAGCAATTTTACAGTGAAGAATAAATTTCTTGGTAGCATGGGGTTAAAATGGCGTAACAATTATGGTTAAATATCTTCAAATATTTCTTTTTGCAGGATTTGAACAGCTGGCTCTAGGTTGAACAGCACTTGATAGTTCTTCAAATATTCAGCTTAGTGCAAGATATAGGAATTGTTAAGCTTGGTAAGTCACCTCTAAACCATATACGTAGTAAATAATTATTTGATGGATGTTTTGTCTTCTGAAATATATCTTTAGGCAATGACCTTATTTTATGAGATTTACAAGATCCCATCTTGATTATTTTATATGAATATATTTCACATTAATCTGACCCTCAAACATGGTCTAATCAAGACTTGGATAAATGCACCTCTGAAATGAGCCTCTATATATAAGAAATACCCCCCAAACCCTTGCCCGTTGTTGTCGTTGAGGAGCTTAGGAGATGAGGACTATAACCCAATGCTGGTGATCTCCCCTGCCTTGGGCCTCAACCCTCAACTCAACTAATTTTGCATGGTCTTTTCCCCCTCCAGCTTTTTCGTTTCTCTCCCTTC